TTTGTTCTTTCTCTTTCTCTCTCTCTCTTTCTTTCTTTCAAGTAGGCTCCACACCCAACATTGGGCTCAAAAACTCACAACCCTGAGATTAGGAGTCACATGCTCTACCAACTGAACCAGCCAGGAGCCCTGGATTTTTTTTTCCTTAGTAAAAATAGAATGCAAGCTGGCAGAATAAGGAAAAAAAATCAGGGTATTATGAAACTTAGGTAAACCACTGTATTTTCACCTGAATCATTATTATATGATCTTTCCAAATCTGGGCTCTCCCCATTTTATAAATTTCTCTTAGAATTCTATTCCTAATCTGCTACTCTGATTATACATTGTCAGAATCCTCTAATGTTTTCCCTCACCCACAGACTCTTAGGACCATTTAACCAGGGTCCTGCATGATCTGGCAGCATCTTAATTTTCCAGCGCTCACCTTTCTTTTCTTTAAGATTTATTTATTTATTAGAAAGAGAACGCGAGTGTGCGCATAAGCGGCGGTGGGGGGAGGCCTTGGGGGGTACGTAGCACAGAGGGAGAAGATAAGCCAACTCCCTGCCAAGCTAGGAGCCCAACTCGGATCTCCTTCTCATGACCTGAGCTGAAACCAGGAGTTGTATGCTCAACCAGCTGAGCCACCCAGGGACCCCAACACTCACCTTTGACTAGACCTTTGACTAAACCACCCAGCTGGAATTCCAGGATTCTGTGCTTGCTTTCTTTTTTTTTAAAGTAGGCTCCACACCCATTGTGGAGCCTCACATGAGGTTTGAACTCAGAACCCTGAGATCAAGACCTGAGCTGAGCCCAAAAGTCTGACACTTAACCAACTGAGCTACCCAGGCTCCCCCAGGATTCTGTGCTTTCATTCATACTTTCTCTTCTACGTGGAATGCTTTTCTCTTCTCCAAATCCTAGACACTTTATTATTGTTATGGTGAAATGTTTCAAGCTACAGAGAAATAATATAGGAATATCTGTGCACTCACCAACCACTGAGCTTTGTCAAATCCTACCATTTTCCATGTTCTGTACTGTTAAAAAATTATCACAGACTTAGATATCTTTAAAACCTCCTCAAATACCAAGTCTTTTAAATAGGCCTCCTAGATGCACCAATCAAAATTAAACTTTTTCCTATGATTTCCTGTAACACTTTCTTTGTGTCTCTATCATCTGACCTGTTCTGCCCTTGCAAAATATTTTCTTTGAGTATTCCTTACTATTATCATTCTCATAGTGGGGTACAAAGATTATTTTAGGTAATCTAAGAAAAGGACATGTAAAAATATAAAAATTGTGTTTATTTAAAAATGTACATTAGAAACATATGTACACACAAGTACTTGAAAATATATATCTAGAACATCAACTCCATGATTTCCCAGATATCCTTTAAGACATGGCTAAAGTAGGTCAATAGAGTAGAAAATTATTGAGTAAATAATAATGTTAGAAAAATATTAAGTAAAAATACAGATGATATGGCAAAAAAATTTGAAGATTGTACTCAAATAATTTAGCTTTGAAAACTTAGCTTATTAGAAGAGGGACCCAGTTTTATTTATTTTTTGTATGCCCTAAGTACCCAGCTAACTCAGAAAAGATGCTTATTAAATTGAATTGATTTCTCTCTGGAATGAGATCCTTGAAAATCATATGGAACCTCCTAAACCTTTGACAGACCACGTAAGACATTTTGCCCATGTCGAATGTCCCTGGCACATCTGCCAGAGAGACAGATGGTGCTTTTTCCCCCTTTCCCTTTCCTGTCCATTATGACACATTGCTCCAGTCAGGGCTTGATGAAGTATGAAATAATGCTAGTGATAGTCCTGTTCTGAAGGAATGAGGACTCGAGCTTACCAGAATGCTCTCATCAGCATCACTTCAACAGACCAATCTCAACAAATTTCAGTTTGTGGACCACTTTAGTTCTTGGATCTGGTCCACTACACACACACACACACACACATACACACACACTCTTACGTTTAGCATACTTTATGTTTTAGAGAAATATTTCTTGGTCTCCTTAAAATTCACTATTTTGTGGCATCTTTTCATTATTGTTAGCACTGAACCATCCGAAGTCACACTGGCAACTGAATTTAGTCTTGAGACTTGGCAATGAGGAATCATTTTGTATAACCCAATGCACGATGTTAGCCAAATTATGTCATACAGTTACAAAACTCCTGTCCTGTCTTCCAGCTTTTCTGAGTAAGTGTGGCTTTTTGAGAAGTTTCGCTCCTCCTGCCCTAAAATGACCTTACATGCTCTCAGATATCAGAGGATCCTAATTGTGATGAAATCTTTCACTTTGTTTCCTTTGTTATAACCTGCTTTTTGAGGTGGTATTTGGAAGAGTGGGGAGTAGTGGGAACCCCTCAGGCCACTGAGTCACAAAAGGAGATCAGAACATGTCTGAAGTTTGGCTTAACCCCCAAAGCTTCACTCATATTGGATTAGATGAGCCTCTGGGAGAAGCCAATGAAACTGCTATATATGGCTTTCATGTCTTTGTTTCCTAATTCCTACTGCTAAGGCATGGGTCTTTGCTGATCTTTTTTTTTTTTAAAGAATTTATTTATTTGAGGGGTGCCTGGGTGGCTCAGTTGGTTAAGCGACTGCCTTCGGCTCAGGTCATGATCCTGGAGTCCGGGGATCGAGTCCCGCATCCGGCTCCCTGCTCAGCGGGGAGTCTGCTTCTCCCTCTGACCCTCCTCCCTCTCATGCTCTCTGTCTCTCATTCTCTCTGTCTCAAATAAATAAATTCTTTTTTTTTAAAAGATTTTATTTTTTTATTTATTCATTTGAGAGAGCGAGAATGAGAGAGAGAGAGAACACATGAGAGGGGGGAGGGTCAGAGGGAGAAGCAGACTCGCCGCCGAGCGGGGAGCCCGATGCGGGACTTGATGCCAGGACTCCAGGATCATGACCTGAGCCGAAGGCAGTCGCTTAACCAACTGAGCCACCCAGGTGCCCGGGTCTTTGCTGATCTTAAAACTCCATGCCAGGGGGCACCGGGGTGGCTCAGTCATTAAGCGTCTGCCTTCGGCCCAGGTCATGATCCCAGCGTCCTGGGATCGAGCCCCACATAGGGCTCCCTGCTCAGCAGGAAGCCTGCTTCTCCCTCTCCCACTCCCCCTGCTTGTTTCCCTCTCTCGATGTGTCTCTGTCAAATAAACAAAATCTTTAAAAAAAAAAAAAAAGAAGAGTGAAAAGTGATAGCAGGATACTGAACTCAAGAGCCTATGTTGTACATTCTACCATATTCATTTTGCAAGAGGAGATGGAGTTTCAGCAAAACGGCATGCATTACATTAACGATACTAATTCATATTTAATTTTATAAACTTTTCCATCATAAATCTTTGTTGATTTAATAAGAGCATAAGGAGTTTTCTTACACCTATATTTATGTTAGTACATATTAAAGAAGCATGACAACAAGAGAATTTAATTTTGAAGGTCCACAGGAATTTTAAAAGTTTAAGAGTCAATTCTGCTTAGAGGAAAGTTTTGCTTTTCTTTCTTTGTCTTCCTAACCCAACTACACCCTCTGGTGGTTGTAGTTGCTCATAGAAGTAAAATACTCCCTTTATAAATGTGTCCTTTTCACATTGGTTTGTAGGTCAGCCGTGCAGCAGACGGAATAATTTCCCTGTAGAAACAATGTTATAAACAATGGCAGTTATTGCAGGATAGCCCACAAAGACCCACCGTCACTCTGTGTCACTTGATCTACAAGCTCGTCCCTCCTCCACCGCCTTCCTTGCTGGCCGAACAGATCACCATATCCACAGTCACTGCCAACACTGCTACAACTCTGTCCCCATCACTTTCAGGAGTAGAAAGAGGACAGAAGTGAGTTAGTGTTTGGTCAATTCCAATATCTTTACTTATAGGCATAACTTCTGCCCTGAAACCCCACACCTCTCCTGGGGCCTCCAGAGGAGAGGGCCACCTAGAAGGACACTTAGAGGTCCTCTTTGCCTCTTTTGAGAATCTTGGGGCACATAATCTTGCTTCCTTTTCTTTTGCCTTTTTGCCTTTGGCTTCTTTTATCCAGAGCCCCTCTTAACTTCTTCAGGGTCAGAGTCACCTTCCAAGTAGACAGCAAGAGGAAAGGAAAAGCAGACCGGAACAAAATGGAAAGAAAAGAAAATCCTTTGACTCAAGGTTTCCCCAAACCCAGAAGCCAATCTGATAGCTAACCAATAAACCTTCAAACACCTTGTCCCTCCATGCTTGAAAACCTTCCCTCACCAGGCCCTTCTAAGCGCCGGCTCGACGAGGAAGGGCCGAGGTGAGACACGATCTCAGCCCACCTGGTGCACATCATACCATCAGCACTCACGTGCGATTCCGTGGGCCCCTCCCCGGTAAGGGACAGTGCCGGTGTGGACCCTGCTGTGTCTGGACGGATAGAAATCCTGTTTTAAAGGGACTAGAAGAACTCTTTGGTATATTACTGAATCCATTTATAGTGACAAAAGGGAAAATTTATACGATTTTAACAACGTAGGAAAAAAGAGCAAGAACATACAGACAAGTGAAATGCTTCAGCTAGAGTACCTGACTGGCAAATGACTAAATTTGGAATTACCCTAACATTGACGTTTAAAATAAATGGAAATGGGGGTGCCTGGGTGGCTCAGTTGGTTAAGCGACTGCCTTTGGCTCAGGTCATGATCCCGGAGTCCTGGGATCGAGTCCCACATCGGGCTCCCAGCTCGGCGGGGAGCCTGCTTCTCCCTCTGACCCTATCCCCTCTCGTGCTGTTTCTCTCTCTCTCTCAAATAAATAAATAAATAAAATCTTTAAAAAAATAAAATAAAATAAATGGAAATGTTCTTGATTGTTTTATCTATTGCTATTTAATAAACCACTCCAGGGAGAGTGGGAGAGGCCTCGGAGCTGGCCAGGAAACAAACTGCTGCCAAGGGTTTTTGATACACACCAGCAGCATCCCACTGTGATACGAATTTTTTTTTCCCTTGTAGGTAAGGAAAGGAAGAGAAAACAGGAAACATTGGAAAGATAAATGGGGTCTTTCCCGTGAAGGTGAGCTTCATTATTTTTCTGTTGAACTTAGTGATTAGTTTAGATTAGATTAATTAGTTAGATTAATTTAGTGATTAATAACAACTGAAGATTGGTGAGAATGGGTAGGGTTCCTATTACTACCTAAATATTTGTATTTAAATTTTTCTCTGCACCATGTATCCTATTTGAAAATAATGTTTCTGTAGAGGACAACAACAACAATAAAATACTTTGGGTGTGAAAAAATAAATTAAAAAAAAAATAAACCAATCTAAAACTTAGAGGCTTAAAACAACCCTTTATTTAAAAACAAAACAAAACAAAAAAAGTTGAGTTCATAGAAACAGAATAGAAAGTGATGGCCTGGGGCTAGGGCGCAGGGGAAATAGGGAGAGGTTGCTACCTCTCCCAACTTTCAAGGGTACAGACTTTTAGTTGTAAGATGAAGGTTTGAGAATCTCATGTATAACATGGTGATTTTGGTTGATAATACCATGTTATATAATTGAAACTTGCTAGGAAAGTAGAACTTAAATGTTCTCACCAAGAAAACCCAACAGGAGAATACGTAGGTAATGGATGGATGGGGGGAAATCCTCTCACAATGTTTAGGCAGATGAAATCATCACATGGTGCACTTGTAAATAGCTTACAGTTTTGTCAGTTGCATTTGGAGAATGAAAAGAAAGGAGAAAACCCAGAGGTTTGTCAAGTTTCTCTTTTGAACAGTGGGATGAATGAAGTACCATTCATGGAGAAGATTGGGGGAAGAACAGATTTTTATTTTGGGGAGATGCAAGGAAGAAAATATAAAATTCCATTTGAACATATTTAAATATGTTATGCCCACTCAATAATTTGTAATTAAACTAGATAGTATAAGGTTTACTCAAACTATGCAAGAATAAGCCAGGTTATAACAAAATGCCACACCATCTGGGAAATTAGAATAGACGATTAGTATTTAAAGTATGAGTTCATCAAGCAAGTTAATGTGTCTGTTAGGATAATAGCTATAGTTTATTGAGGTGTTTTTATTTGTTTGAACCATATGAAATTGTGGATATTGACAATGCCATACGGTTTGTCCCAGTATGTAGTAGCCATAGAATTATATTTTATATATAAATGAATGACTATTCACAAAAACCCTTAAGGTAGACTTTTTCTTATAAGTGGAAGTTGTGGAAGAGGTTAAATAACCTGCTAAAAGTCTAATGAGGAATTAGGCAGGAAGGAATCAAAACAAGGTCTTTTTGTCATCGAATCTGGACTCTAAGCCACAAAGTTACACTACTGAGATTTCTAGCCAAGAAACCGAGAAAATGAGAAAAGCTTCAGACCCCAGATACACAGATAGGCAGATACAGGAGTGCTTGGTCTGACTGGATGGAGAATTTCTGGCTGTCTCCCTCCTACAGAGACCCAAGTTCAATCAGACCTTACAAGCCGGAATTGCATTTTAGAAGTAAACACAATGAACAAAAAGAAATCAGATAGTTAGCACTATTAAAAGTTGCTCAAAAATTTCCATCAAGAGGGCCTGGGTGGCTTAGTCAGCTGAGCGTCCACCTCTTGATTTCAGCTCAGGTCATTATCTCAGGGTTGTGATTTTGGCTCCAGTGATTATTTCAGGGTTGTGAGATAGAGCCCCGAGTTGGGCTCTGCGCTCAGCAGGGAGTCTGCTTGAGATTCTGTCTCCTTCTGCCCCTCCCCCTTTTCGTGCTGTTTAAGTCAAAGGCTAAAAAAAGTTTACGTGATTAAAACGCTTTCTGTGTACCCTTGGAAGAATATTTCCCACACAGCTCTGGCATTGATAAATATCAGTTAGGTCCAATAGTCCTACACGGCGGTAAGCAATAGAAATGGTCACTTGGCAATTAAGTCACACTCCTGCTAACAGAAAATTGAATTTTTAAATTTAATAACCAAATGAATCTGTTCCTCAATGCTATATTGATCAGGGGCTCTCTGAGTATAGTAGCTGGTCTCCCAATTGGTCCAAAAAAAATAAAGCCAGTACATTTATTTATTTATTTTTTATTTAATTTTAAAGGCCAGTACTTATTAATCTATAAGTTCTTAGCCAGCTTTGATATTATTTGATAGTAATAATAATGGTAATAATAATAATAAATACCATGTACTGGATCCTTACTACATGCCACATACCAGGTTACGTGTATTAACACCATCTTTGCATAAAAGCTCCTAACAACCTCATGGGATAGGTTGTACTATCTTAGTTTTGACTGAAGCATAGAGATACTAAGTAATTTCCCAATGTCCAAAACTAGTGCAGAACTGAGATTTAAACTCAGCCATTTAGGGGCACTCAGTTGGTTAGGTGGCTGCCTTTGGCTCAGGTCATGATCTCTGGGTCATGGGATCGAGTCCTGGTTCGGGCTCCCTGCTCAGTGGGGAGTTTCTTTCTCCCTCTCCCTCTGCCCCTCCCCCTACTTGTGCGCCTGCTCTCTCTCTCTAATAAATAAATAAAATCTTAAAAAAAAAAAAAAAACTCAACCATTTAAACTCGATTTAAACTCATTTAAACTCAAAACCCATGCTCTTACCCCCTATTTTGGATATGTGTGTACACATACATGCACATATATGTGTATATATAAAATGGTAGAGCTGATTACCGTGAGTTTACTTTTAGTGTGGGTGGTAAATGGCAATGCATATATATTATAAAAGTGGTCAAAGAGTCCAGAATCTTCAGCCCAGCCTGAAAACTAGCTATGTGTGCTTGCTTTTTTGATGATCCTTTGTATTTGTAAAAAGTTATATATGTGATTTTCATATTCAAAATTTTTCTACAATTAGATTTCCAAAAAGTAATTACTTTGTAGTGGAAGTCAATATTTAGTCAATCAAATGTGTTCTGATCACTAAGAAAGATGGATTATTTAGTGATTTTCTTGGCTTTGGCAACAATGCAAAAAACAGTAGGAAAGAACTGTAGCAGGCTAACCCTTTAAAGTGTTGATTTGGGGGCTCCCCTCCCACACTGTGCAAACAAATAGACAAATGCTGTAAGAAAATCAAGATGACAAATATTCAACCATTAGCTTTCAAGAATGCCACTCATGTAGCCCTACATTGAAAGATGCAGATGCCTTCTGACAGAGCTTTTGCTCCCACAGCTTTGATAAAGTATGCTCTCAGAGAAAAGAGAACAGTGGGAGAGGAGAGGCATCAAGCACCTCAGGCACGTGGGAGGGAAGCCCAAGCCCTGTCTATAGCCAGTGCTGCTTCCGGCCCAGAGCCAGGGCACTGTTTAGAAGCTGAGGTAGAGCCGAGTTGATCCTCTTCTGTCATTCGGTGGGTTCCACCATTCACCAGTGGTCAGCCCACTGTCCTTCATTAGTACAGTTTGAAGTCTTGTTGCCTTTGTCCCAAGGATCTTTTCATATGCTTCTGATTGACCATCTTCTGGGAGCAGTCCCTCATATAACAGCCCAGAACTCTCATAAACACCATTCTACTCCCCCCATCACTGCCCCCAGAGTGGAAACTAGAGGACTTGTAGTCCTTGATGGGTGATAGTGGAGGGGGCTTGGATGCTTTGTGGGGTGATGATGGTGCCAGCTGAAAGGGAAATGTTTGGTCCAAAGAAAGGATTATTTGGAATCCATGTGAAATCATCCACTGAGCAGAGGAATGCACTCCCCCATCACAGAGCATTAAGAAGTGGGAATGTTAGAGCTGGACAAGAGCTTGCAGAACATCTCGTCCCACCCCTCCACATGGTAGAATAGACTATTTGTTGGAGGTCAAATAGCTGGTTAATGGCTCAGCCGCAAGCAGTAATCAAATGTCATGAGTAAGTTTAATCCTCTCTCCAGTGCACAGCATGGGCACATCTGTTTGGGGAGCTCTTTCTTTGGGGTTTTCTCTGATCCTCTTTCAAGGCATCATATAGAGGACCCACTTTCTAAGTTTTTAGAAGCCCAAATTCAATATCTCACAGTGACACCAAAGTGAAGTTTTTGTTGGATTAGTTTATTGCCATAAGATATAGTGAAGACATTTTTTTCAATGGTTGGGAGAGTCATAACTGCTTATAGACGATTTCTCCTCCACAGAGACTCTATGAGACTGCTTGTACTAGCCCACAGGTGCCTGAAACTGAGCACCAGAATGCATTTAATTGTGTTGAAGAAAGTCCAAGCTTCCTTCCCCACGATAAATGAGGACCCGACCTTCCTTATAGCTATGCCTGTGTTCTTCTGTTCATTCTGTCATGAATACTTATTTCACTAGAATTTTTACAGGTGGAGAAGGAGGGTGTCTACTTATTACTCGGCATTTCTCTAATGATCACTTTGTAAACCACAGTTTATCTTTGGACATTTCAGTGGCTTCATACCACTCACCATCATTACACTAACAAAACTCATCAGGTTGCACTTTCTACATTTGCTCTCCATGGGCTTCTGTAACCTTTGTAGTTTTTTTATTTTTAGAAACTTTTTTAGAGAAACGCTTGTTTTTAGCACCACTTTACATATGTCAGTGTATTTAAACCGTTTCTTTTTTGTGGCAGATAAAAAACTCTAAGGACCTCTCTTACAGGTATTGTTGGAACATTCAAATAAAATCTGTTTATGAGACACAGGGATAGCCAGATATTAAACAAATCAAACAAGTTTTCTCATAAATATTAGGTTGACTCCTGGTTAACATTTTAGACTCTTGTTAATATTTCACACATTGTTTCTGTTCAACTAACTTGAGAACTTCATGAAAAAGTTGAATGGTAGGTTGGGTAAGAGGGTACCGCAATGGGAGCCTTTTTTCCAAGGCTGGCATGTGAATAAAGTACCTGCAAATCATAAAAAGAAACAAAATAGCTTTAAAAATAAGAATTTCACATTGGTCACATCAGTACGTATACACTCACTGGCGTAGGGCTGTTGGATATGGGGGTCTAAGCCATAAGATTTGGCCAGCATTTTCAGTTGTCTGATCTCCCCTATTGGGTGACCTAGAAGATCTCTGATATGTGTGCC